ACAATTCTGCAAATTCCTGAGGTGCACGTTTCTGGCAGTTTTAGTGGTAAGCGAACATCTACAGGCCTCATCATCCCAAACTGCTTAGCCAAAATTATACGAAAGCAGGAAAGGATTTTTAGTTGCGTAAATTTATAGTTATACTCCTTAACTGTGAGCAAAATATACAGGACCAAGTTGCAAGTATTTGAAGACAATAAGTTGCTTAATTAATGAATAATTCAGCCGCGGTGAGGATTAAATTAGACGCATTTGTGACTTCTGTAGTAATTTCATAAAGGATGCATTTAAGACAAAGTTCCTAGCCTCCATATCTCCGAAATACCAAAATGACAGTTAGTTAAGAAGAAGATAAATACGAGACTCCTTATTTCAGAATTACAAATTCAAAAAGTAATGGGAAAGTCACAGCTATTTTAATCTGAATACCAGCTCAAATTATATGTACAGGTTGATTTAAAACTTAAGTAGAGCTGAGTATGTATTTATTATTCCCAGTCATTGATTGCCATCACCCGATAGCAGATGTAAGACACACCACACATCACAAATTTGAAAATGAACATCTGACCATAGACATGCAGAACATTACGAAGACTGAAAAACCTACAAAAGAAAATCTACAAAATAAATCAATAAATGGTTGCATTAAAATAAAATATATAATAGTTTTAAAGATATAAAAAACGATAAAAACCTGAAGATGATGCAATAATAGCATCGAAACATGTCGTTAATAATTTGCGCCGAATAAATGTAACATCGTAATACGATGAAAAGCGCTATAATTTTAACAACAACATTTTAAATTAAGTTTGTGTATAAACTGGAATAATAAATATATACTTAGTTCAACACAAACATGACGCATCTAAGCTACAAATTAAGTAGAGCTGGTTGTTTTATTCCGAATGAAGTCTTGAAGAACCTGAAGATGTTTTCTTTTCGCAGTTGGGGCTAGTACTGGCTACGCTGAGCATAGCTGCGGCGCAGAGGGGACAATACAGCAACCTGCAGACCGTACCCATCATTCAGTACAACAACGAAGTTAACTATGATGGCACCTACAGATACAAGTTAGTAATGCAAAGAATTCTAAGATCATCAAGCACAGGTTCATAAGAATCGTTTACGATGATTAAATGTAGAATATTATTTAACGTTTCAGTAAACATTTGCTCTCTAGATGGTAAATGCAATGTTTGGATACTTTTCAACATTGGACGAGGTTGATTACCGAAAGACAAAGATGCACATGAACACAAGCTAATAAATCATATAATTTTATATTCTTTGCTCTGATCTGAAAAACCAACACATAGTCCTATTATACATTACTGAAACAACAGAATCTATATATACTGAATCAAAATAGCTGTAGATTTCAAACAATCGACGTAACTCAATTTATGTAAGATTTGAGGTTTTCACAGCGGTGAGTATGAAGATTTCTGTCTTCTGGGTTGTTGCACTGTGTAGTCTGGTCGATGTTTACTAACGTTTCAGAGGTCATACTGCCTCCGTCATCAGAGTATGAAGATTTCTGTCTTCTGGGTTGTTGCGCTGTGCAGTCTGGTCGATGTTTACCAACATTTCAGAGGCCATTCTGTCTAAATGATCTGGGCGAAGTATATCATTGAGTAGATACTCATATTATAGCGCCAACGCTAATAGTATTTAACACTACTTGAATTATTAATATCTGAATTAACTTCGTTGGAGTAAATTCTACCACGTTTGACTCCTGTTCAGCGTTTTAACAAGAGCGCGCGTTTTATATTTATTTTAACAATTCTAGAGTTAAATCATAGATTTGTTATTTATTTTTAACTCCTGTTTAGTTTAAACTTGCGCAAGTAATTAAATATGAGTGCATATATTTCTTTGTCAGCGTAATGTGGAGACTAAATTACAAACACTTTCCTGACTCTCCTTTGTGAGTCTGTGCTTATAAGTTGTTCTTAAACAGACAGGATGTCAGGCCTACTGCCTGCAAATATACGAGGTAAATCGCCTTTTATTAAAAGCATTTTTCGATTGTAACAGTTCTAAAGTTTAGTGGCAATTTATTAAAATGCCAGGCAAACAGGTTCACATATTACTCAATTACTTTTCTAAAAAATGTGCTGATTCGTCATTCACTAAAAACTACGTAAATATCTCGAAGGGCGATTATATTTTACAAAAATGTGTTCCGAAACAAGACACAAGCGGGCCGCAGATTGTGATCCCCTGAACTACATGATATTATGAGTTTTATTAGTTTTTTAGAAAGGGGCGGATACTTTCTGTGGGGTTATATAAAACTTGTGTGAGACAAATATTTATATTTGCATGTTTCTTTGTTATCAACGGGCCACACCCATAGCACTGTCATTAACCTACAGGCACTAAAATATGTAGGCCGTACAATTAAGACACGTTGCCACCTGCATCATCGTAGTGTCCAAAGTAGTGTCAATAAGAAATTAATTAACGACGGACCATAAACAGGCAGGGGGCCCGTTCACGGAGTGCAGGAAGACAAACGAAAACCGAGACTTTATGTAGGCAGTGTTCTGTTTTCATGCTGGCACATTTATTCTACTTGCGTTCCTATGTTCAATGTTAAAACCGGAACAAAACCGCGTCTATTATTGGGTCAAAACCGACAAGCAAATGTGTCCTCGTCTTGTTTACAGTTACGAGACAGGAAACGGTATCGTTGTCCAGGAGCAAGGTTATCTGAAGAATCCTGGGCAGAAGGACCTGGAAGCACAGGTTGCAACAGGATCATTCTCGTACACAGGTCCTGACGGAGTCCTCTATACCGTCACATACACGGCCGATGAAAACGGATTCCGTGCCGAAGGTGCTCATCTACCAACTCCTCCTCCTATTCCAGAGGCCATCGCCCGCTCTCTGAACCTACAACAGCAGCCTCAACGCCCAGGTCCCAACAGGTAAATTATATATTGAATTTTCTAGACGGCGAAGCCATGATGGGAGGAGCGCACAACGCTGGGCGGAGGAAATATGAAAAAAGAAAGAAAGAAAGAAAGAACAAAATTATGAAAGCTCGCTGTCCTCACCATATTATTTATTTTAACAAAAATATTTCGGTATTGTTCACAGATTTAAATGTAGCACGTTTTAACGAGTAATCTTTCTTTGTCCGCAGGTACTTTAGGAAATAAGACCATTATTTCACCGTCCCTTCTTTATATGGATACCAACAGGAACACCGCACGTCGTAAGGTCTACTGGTAAACTTTAGCAAGGCAGAGACTATGTACAAACATTTCCTTTATCGTCGTGTCAGGGAGTAATATTTCTGCTTACATTTCTTACCACAATGCAAGGTTTATATAAGTTATATTAAATTCCTACGCCTCAGCCATTAGTATGTAGCACACATCATCAATGATGGTTGTAATCAGGGATCTATAATATGATGAGATTCATTGTAAGTAGCTCCGAAAAATGATGTGTGTACATAACGTGTGTGGTAAGCTTCTGCATAACGTACATAAATCATTTCTGAGAATGTGGCTAACTTACTGTGATACGTAATTGTGTTAACTACATGCACAAACTGCCACGTTTTTGTATCACTGAGCTGTGTTACTGTCTAGATCAGAAGTCGACAACCATTCTTGGGTGAGTAAATTAGGATATTACAATTCAAAACTGGAACCATAAGCCTGTACAAAAAAGTGTCTGATTAAACACACTACTTTCATATTTCTTAATCCTGTATCAAATATACGATACCGTCTGGCGTAAAAAGCGACCCTTCTACTTCCCCATCAGCTGCTGACGTCAGAATTCACACAAGCGCCTCGGTGGCCGTGGGCAAACTGTTCCCTGGTCTAGACGTACCGCTTCTGAGGGTACATCGAGCTAAATTTCCCTGAAATCAACGCCGTGTGCGACAGCGGCAGCGGTTCTACCGTACCGCACGGTTGAGTTACAGTAACATAAAGTTACACAGACTGTATTTCACGCTGTATAAATTTATAACCTTGTATCGTGTCGTACCGCTGTCGGATCCCACGTGCCACGTTGGTTCCAGAGAACTTACAGGATAAGTTTCTATTTTTGAGTGTGTTCTTCTGTTTCCAGAGTGATTTTGTTTTGTTTTATAGAATAAATATTTAGCTTCTATTAAGTAGTGTGTATTATGATAAGCATATTTATGTAACTTTCTGTTTTCATCTTGTATATTTATATATTCATTTTGTGCAATAAATACCTTTATACGTGGTACAAATGAATGTCGTTACTTTGCTCCTACATAATCACAGCTGGGCTGATGATATATACAAGCCTACATGCACGTAGTGAAACCCAATACGAGATTCGTGGCAGAAACAATGAACTGGGCCAGTAAAACTTTTTAAATACATCTTGAACGGTGATTAATTCAATATCGCTGTCTTCTAAAATATATGGAGTGAGTCTTAATTAAACAATATATATATATATAGACATCGATATTCATTTTCACAGCCGTTTAATACACATTTGATTTCTTCTTTTTAAGTGAGTTATAAACTCATGAAATTTGATTCTTCTTAAAATAATTATTACTTCAGTAAATTGTCATAAAATTCTCTGTTTATATCTGCCGGTGATTTCGTAAAACAGCACTGCGTACCTGTGGACGCCAGAATATATATATATATATATATACACATATATATATATATATATGTGTGTGTGTCTTGTTCCACTCCCTAGGTAGTCCTTGGTTTGTTTATAGGAGCAGATTACGATCCTTATATTTGTAATGATTAATTAAAAATCACTCTATATATACCAGGTAGCCTACAAAATACTAGGTTCTATTCAAATTTCATAAAACTATTTGAATGATCCGTCTACTTTTAACAAGTTCTTTCGGTAAACCAAATTTACTCACACGATATTAAGGAACAAAGTGAAAGCAATGATCTACCCTCTGAATTCCAACATTTCACACTATTACAGTCGTAACAAACTCAGTCACACGCAAGCTGAAGTTCACATTCCTTGATTTATTAAGTAACATTCTCGAAAGAAATCTGCAAAGCGTCTGAAGAATGTCGGCTGTTTCTGTGAACTTTCTGCTTCAAATCTTTTTCTCATCCTTCCCAGGAGACACATTCTCAGGAACCATGATTGCCATTGTTCTCCATTGATTATCCTTCCATCGAAGATACAACAGTCAGCATTTCCAACATTGGATTTCCTGTGGCGCGTGGTTATTATTGCTGGAAAATGCATACAGAAATTTGGAGCTGACCACATGGCACACGAAAACTGAATTAGGGAAATAATATACAGACGGGTTTTACATTGATGTAGTATTTACAGAAATATGAAACGTCTGTTCATAGATGAAGGTTAAATAAAACTGCATAATAAAGACCTTCAAGAAATCCACTTCTCAAAACTATTATTAGGACGACCAAACCAACAATTAACACATTGAACAAACGGAGAAGGTATGAAAAACGTACAAACTCTTCCGTTGTGTAACTTTCATAGAAGAGACCTCTTCGAATTCTGTACGCGTAGACGGTAGATTAATATTTCAGTAATCTTAAAGAAATGAGGCGTGATAGTACATATTAGATTAACCCGGCTGGGAATAGGCACCGCTGGTAGGCTTTTGTGAGCACAGTAATGAACTTATGGGTCTTATAAAAGCAGTGAATTTCTTGACTAGCTGATCGAATATCAGCTCTTCAATAACGACGATGTTCCGACGATGCTACAGCATGAAGTCAGTCCCGTTAGAGACGGACTGCAACAGAACTGGACTGTCCATACTGAACCTCACGCACATTAAAATTCGTGTTTCTTGTTGATGAACCCTGAAATATTTAAGGAAAACGAACGTACTGGGGTGTCGTGTTTGTGTAGTTACTACGTCTGAACCACATTACGCGCACACGAGTTCCACAGGTCGATTGCTTAAATCCGTCGTTAATAAATGTCCCCTTTATACATAAGTACTGTCCCCCATGTCACTCGTAATTACATTTTAATATCTGTGTCGATTCTTACAAGATTATTCATTTTTTGGTATTTCTGAAGACTATGACCATATAGTGTGAACAAATTATGCTTATACTTACAAGATTATATACATTTCGCAATGCGTGATACATAAATTATGTACGACAGAGCTTTGCAATATATTCTATGTTTCAGGCAAGCCTATCTACAAGTTTTGATTGGCATACATCATATTTGTGGTTTCGACACATAGATCGTAGCCCAGTGTAACTATTCAGTCTCTTAAATTGAAACACAGCAACTAAATATATATTTGCTGCCTCATAATTTTATCTGCTCCAGCTGCACATTGCATGGGTTTCTTCAGTACATTATTTCCAGTCTGTAAACACTGCTCAGAACTGTAAATTATTTTGATGTTGTAGATAATATTAGTTTCCTGTGCTGATGTTCGTTTGTACTGTTTATATTTGTGGTTATCTTCTTAAAGTCCGTAATTATTTGACAGAATACTTTCAGATATGCTGAGTGTTAAAAGAGGTAAACATTTAATTTTCTCGAGTCTTCGATTAAAATGGTAGCCCTGTTTGTCACAATGAATCAAAATTATAATTTAACGTGACTACAGTCTGAGTAATTCTCGAGTCAAATGACAACATTAGAACTGTAGAAAATACACACTGCCAGGTGTGGTGGAAATATAACAGAATTACGAGAAAATGCTTAATTCTTTGTTCGATCATTTATTTATCATGGTTTAAATAAAGATTCTGTAAAGACTTCACTTAAGGACGTCGGATGATTAGGATGTTAGTGATCGTGATCATATTTGAGGCAGTACCCAAGATTTAAGCTCGAGTAACTGAGAAAAATTATGAAAAACCTCTCTCAGGATAACCGGTCTTCGGGTCGAGATTTGAACCAAAGAACTCTCGAATACGAGGCGGGAGTGCTAATCACTCGACAGCAACGTTCCTTAGGAAGTTGTGTAAACAGCGAAATATTAGCATGAGATCTTTATAAATTTAAGTACTTATTTTTCGCAGCAGAGATAAAGATTATTCTGCAACTGGAAATTTTGATAAACGGTATGATGCAAATAAAGCCGGATTCTTTACACATCTTGAATTTGCTTTTACATCGCACTTCGCCTGTCTTCCTCACGAGTCTTACAGAAGCTTGCATTCTTCAAAATGAGCACGTTTTATTTCCTTGTCAGATAACTCTGCACACAACTTACAATGGAGACAGATCTAAACACAATTACAAGTGGCTTCTCAAACAACGCCTACTGAAAATCTAAGATACTTTCATGTCATAATGACAGCTGTTATGTGACATATCGTGCGCTCGTTTCCTTGGGAACGTGCACTGGAAATAAATACGTTGTTCTAGAAGACCTGAACCCTGTTTAACCAGTTCAGATTCACAAGTTAATAAAAGCTTCCACAGAATGTATTTTGTACAACACTTTTCAAGTAAATCCGTAATAGAATACACATGTGTGTCCTTTGTAAATGTTTAACTGTTAATAAAAGATTACTTAAACAACAGTATACAAAGTGCTTTGTTCTGAAAGTCCTCTTTAAGTACCTTAAACAAATAACGACACGTTTTAGCTCTGTAGCAGCATACGGGAATTATGCACTCAAGACCGCAAGACCTAATCTTGGAAAAATATTTTTGCTATATCAGCCATTTTGTTAAAGACCTAATCTTGGAAAAATATTTTTGATATATCAGCCATTTTGTTATTTTATGTAAAACAAGAAATAATTTTTTTTTCTTCAAAAATCGACAATAATAAATCACTTTATAACCCCAATGCTTACCTTCAAAATCCGCTTACTGGATCGTATAATACAGATCAGTTTACTCTTCGCAAATAAATTTGTTAAAGTACACACATTTGAAGTCCTTGTTCAGATTCTCGATATATGAATGGTTTTAAGTCATGTCTCAGTTTCTTTAGAGTACTGCAAGCGTATGAAGCGTGCTGGCATAAATAAAATTTGAATATTCCTAAATAGCCTTCGGCTTTGTACCAAAATCCACATCCTCCCGAATTAATTGTAATAACCAATTTTAATATTTTCTATTCTATAACATGTTAACGATTGCAAAAGCCTTTTTTGCCATCTTGAATTTATTTTCTCATTACACGTACAAGATGAAATCGGTGCGATTACAGATAAAGAAATGATTATTACACTTAGCCGTTAACCTCACAACTCATGTTGAGTCGGATGATAGGGAAACTTCAAAAAACTTAGAAAAGTCTTTTCTTCAGGCCCTACGTTTTTCTAAATATGATCCAAAATGTCCTGAAACAGAAGTACATAGTGGTATGTAAAATTATCTGTAACTAAGTAACCAACTTCGTGAGTAGGCTCCTACCTGAGAAGCTAAGTTACTCAGTAGGATTTCCACGGCGGTGAGTCTGAAGATGGCTGTCTTCTGGGCGCAACAACCCTACTCAGTTACTCAGCTGGTCAAGATATGTCGCGTCTTTCAAGAAATCTTGAGAATCTTTGCCGTGTTTGAAACAGCCCAATATTGGATTACAACCTGCTCCACATAATTCCAGTCCACATATCAACCCCAGTTTGTTTAATATTTCTTTTATGCCAATTCTTCCCTCTACATCTAGGTCTTCCAGGTCATCCTTATGCACTCCCCATAACTCTTTGCGAGTTTCATGTTCTCCTTGATATTATCTGGTGCAGTAAACTACGTAGCTCCTCATACGTGCAGTGTTCAAATTCACTCAACAACGTTATGTGCGGAACTGTAAACCTTTGACAGCTTGTGATAAGTGTGGGAACTGGTGAACGGAGTTCAGAGTTATGCGTGCATGTCTAGAAGAAAGAACACATAAAATATATGTAAAGTAAGTATTATGTTTCCGTTTTATGTTACGCGTTAGTGGTCCTGGTAGGCATCAAAAACAGGTCTAAAGCCGCTCCTCCTAATTGGTCCATATTTCGCCCCTCGGCCACTATGGACAGCTTCGCCGCATCGCATTCACTTTTCTATGCTACAAAAGTGACGTTTTATTCTCGCCAATGGCGAGACGAGATACCGGCGGAAAGAATGAATATCGCCCAGTATGTGTATATTCTGTCTGTACACAAGAAGACAGTTTGCAGGTGTTGAGGAGGATATTTGAGCCTTGGAGAGAAGACGATGGGGCACGGAGAAAACTGCATAATGACGAACTTAAAAATTTTTAAGTCAAGAAGAATGAGATGGGAGGGTCATGTGGTACGCATGGATGGGACAAGAGGTGTGCACCGGGTATTGTTCGGGAAGCCTGAAGGGAAGAGACAGCTGGGGGGACCTAGACGTAGATGGGAGGATAATGTCAGGCGGGATCTATGGGAGATACGAGTTGAAGGAGACTGAATTTTGTTGGCCCACAGACAGGACCCGGTGGAGGGCTTTGGTTAATTCGATGGTTCCGTAAGCCATCTAGTTAGTTAGTTAGTTAAGTTGTTAGTTAGTACGCTAGTAACAACACAGTCCCAATTCACTCAGTATCGTACTGAAGGCACATGGAATATGTATCATGCACTTATTTAGTGTTCTTAGAATGTTTAAATAGATTATATACATAACGGAACATAAGAATAACGATATGAATTTAGATCGTTTGTTAAACATCGAGGGTAAATACCAATGGATTTTTTAGTAGTAGATATAAATATATAATTAATACTTCTTTGGTTAGATTTTAAACTGCATGAGTGGCATAGTATCAAATGGTACGATAATGGTGATAATTTTAAGGCACTGTTTGCGTATTTATTTGGAGCGACTGTAAAGAACCGCGAAAGCATTAGATAGAGTTATTTCCAGGCAGAGAATCGATATAGTACTTCCGAATACGATGAAGCGCTCAACAGGTCAACCACGACGTTAGGTTCTAGCTGTCGATAGAAAAGCAATCGGCCTGTAACGTTTATAACTGGTATTCAAAATGCGTTAGGGGATTTTGAGGCTCATTCAACTGTCTTATAGATGTCCCGTAAAACACCACTGTTATCACATCCACTCCTGCATTATTCTAACATTAACAGTTGAAATAATATTGCCTCTGCTTCAACGTATTACAAATAGCAATGTATTTAAACCTGGCACTGAAATATTTTCAGTGAAGTTCATATCACGTCAGGTGCCAAATTTAGCGGTAAACCTGGCACTGAAATATTTTCAGTGAACTTCATATCACGTCACGTGCCAAATTTAGCGGTGGAGTGGTTGGCACTTCTGCGTCCTATTTGGAAAGAGACGGGTTCAAAATCCCGACGGAGGATAGCTCTTTTGATTGAGGAGTTCGTGGTTTTACCAGTTCCTCTAGACAAAATTTTGGTATATAATATTAAAATGAGGTCACGATCGCTTCCTTCTACATTCCTTCTAATTCAGTATTTAATAATCGTCTTATCACTGGACGCTATACAATCTGAGCTATCGACAGCAACGTTAAATATAACATAAATAAGTAATAGTCAATAAATATGTGGCCCGCACAAAGGAAACGTGAAACGCAAACACAATGCAGTAGTCTGAATTATCTGAAGGAAAGAGACCATAAATAATACCACGCATATGTGGAGGATAACACCAAGTGAATCTTAGAAATGTAGTGTCAGTAATGTACTCGTTTTAAGTCAGTTCATATAGGGTTCGGTGTGTGGATATGGGATACCGGATACTGGGAACGACCCGTTCTTCAAGTGCCTGAGCACTGCGGGTCCCAACTTTTCGCTGGCTTGATCTATTAGACATTCGGTAGGACTCCTTGGACGAGGGATTGGCCCGTCGCAAGGCCACAGAAAAACGCGGACAAACAAACATGGCTTGATTGGGATTCGAACCCACGGTCCCAGCGACCAAGCGGCACAAGACTCACGCCTCAGATCGCGCGTCCACTGCGGATCCCGTGTGGATATGACGACGAGCAATCAGACTGAATAAAGCAGCATATTTAGTGGCAGACTGAAGAGGAATATATACAGTGGATTTACTAGATTATTAATCTCACATGAAAGTTATGTAACGATAAAAAGTTTACGCAGTCACTGTCTTGACACGAAGTTCTTTGTCAGTAGATCAAATAAAGATATCTTCTGAATATAAACCAAACTTTCTCACAGACTCTGAACCTCGCGTGAGTTCTGAGGTTAACTTCTTCATCAGCAAAAAAATATATCATTACCCTCCCTTCAAGCACAAGAGACGGGGAGAGCGTTAGAAGGGTGGGAACAAAAATAAATATGGAGGGGAGAGGGGAGTCACTATTACCGGAGGTAAAAAGAGTATTATTTTATTAGAAGGTTCCCAGGGTTCGCTAGCTCGTCCTTATGATAAGGGCAGCACGCAAAGTAAAGATGCTAAGATAATAAATATTATCTTTAGACGTAAACTGTGAAACTTCCATTTTATCACGCAAATTTGGAAAGATGTGTAATATTGTGGCCTATGTAAGAAGGAGCAGGTATTAAGTTTAATTAGAAGACTGCATAAACAGCATTCTTACAAGCGACTTCAGAAATTTTTCAATCGTCAAAAATGTTTTTAGATTTCGGGAGTAAGGTAATATAACTAACTAACTAGATGTCTTATGGAAACCGAAGGTTCATCACCGAACTAATCAAAGCCCTCCACCAGACCGTCCTGGGCCACAACATCCAGTCTCCTTCAACTCCTATCTCCCATAGATCGCGTCTGAGATTATCCTCCCATCTACGAAGGTGATATACACATCACAATTTAATTTTACTCTTAACGAAATTGGCAGAACTATTTGCATTATGCTGTAAAACATAGGCAAATTTATGTGCATGTCTGTTCTTGTTGTAAACTTCCATCCAACACATCTGGCATATAGCGCTTATGGTATTAGGGCACTTGATGAAATCTGTCCTCATAAGAACATGCTCTATGCTTAAAGAATAACTGCTTTATCAGCAACAGTTTGTTCATAACAATAGTAACGTGTCGAACGAAAATTTTACATGTTTTATAAAGAGATACGAAACAATGTCTCTGTAATTGAAAACAGTTGGGTCACTGAAATGTGGTTAAATATTCCCCTCTTGAATTTCCTTTAAAATTCAATACTGCCTGTTATCTCTGTGAACATAATTCCTATAAAATGGTGCAAAAGCATTCGACCGACGTAATTTCGAGGCTGATACGTTATCATCAACTGAACATACGTGTTTACTCGGTCTACAGCTTCTTATATGAACGCTTCAGCTGGGATAATTTAATAATTTCTTTTCAGTAGACCATCTTTGTTACAAGAAAGAGTGAGAAAAATACAATGGATGTTAATGTGAAAGAATCCCATTTCACAACATGAACAAGGTCTGCTATCTGCAATGCACGTTCGTAATCACACACTCCCCTCTGATGGCCGAACCACTGCCCCCCCCGCGCCCCACCTGACGGTCACACCCTCATATTCTTTCTCTGTCCACCTCAGTGTTGCAAGGTCCGTGTGTGATCGGACTGATATGTATATAAGGCAGAGAAATGGAGTCAGTTCGCATCACACGTTAAGTGTAGCAGGCGCAGAGAAGTGTCTCACTCACGCACTCAAGTGGCAGAATGAGGAATATAATTTTGGTAAGCTAACTGCTCTACTTACATAACGAGAATTGAGGGTTAAACACGTCATAGATTTTTAAGGAGACCGATCAATGTTATGTCAGTCAGACTTATTTTAGATGTGATCACTAGACGGTAGCAGGCGGCCATTATCTCAAAACTGTTATTAAAATGGACGAAATGCATTTAACACAAAATGCTGAATTTGCAGAATTTTAAAAATTTTGGCGGAAAATTTCTTGAATAATGAAAAACAAATAACGAAACTGAATCTTACTTCTTTTACAAAATACTGAAGCATGGAAACGTGATTCATTATCGATTCCCTTTGTCACTGTCTCAACAAGAATTAAATTCTGTAATTTTGGGCATTGTTTATAAAATGAAAAATTCGTTAAGAGAAACTAAAACCTTGAAATATTAAAATGAAATGTTTATCGATTTAGCTTCTTTGGTTAATCTAAATATAAAAAAAATGTTCCATATAGATTTTACGTAAATCTGCAATTGTAATTTATGTTAAAATTAACATCCGTGTTCCACTTATATTTAAGCCAAGTGTCTGTGTTTCTATGTATGAATAGACTTCGTTTGTATGTTATTACTAAATCGTACACCAAAGTGTAACTTTGGTGAACTTTAGATACCACTAAAGTACCACGTTCCCTGAAAACCGATAGGAAACTTTAGGTAACTATTTATTTTTATAGAACACTTCCGATAAACCGAAACTATTTTAGTTTTTGAAAAATAACGATTATTTCATATGACGTCTCTCTTTAAATTATTGTAACAGGATTAATGCATTCAAATGTGTTTTGGCATGACCTGCATCAAGAATTGCACTTGTCTGGGTTGACAGTTCTCAGTTCAGTGTGAAATTTTACAGCTTACGTACGTGTCCGCCATGGTGGCAATATGTGCAGCCCGGCCTCAGTATTACCAACATCAACAGGGATTCCAAAAGCCGTTCGTTCCAATTGTGGCATACAGCAATGACATTTCACACGATGGGTCCTACGCTTACAGGTGGGTTCACATCGGAAAGGAGACAAAGTCCTGGACAGGATAATGATTTCGGATTTCCTTCCACTAAGAATGTTCATTGGGTTTTTCTTTGGCCAGCGCGGACTGGGGCAGAGAAGTCGGATACCACTCCCGCCAAGTAAGGTCGACCCCGTTAACGCACATTTCGCTTTACGACTGCGCTCAGTATAAAACTCGACGCAAAAGAAATATTTTCGTAGTTGGCCAGTCCTCGAAGATGTTTTATATAGACTTAAAGTTGGCGTTGGTTTAGTATTGCAGCAAATAAGAATGAGGTATCAGGTAGTGCTCGACAAAGAACACTCGTTGTTCTTGTGAAAATTCACCCTTGCACTTTGACCGAAAATAGCTGACAGTCTCGAGCAGGTTACAACATGGCGTGGGTTGTGTGGGTTCTTGTAATCTACAGGATGATTCAAAAGTTTAAGGCCAAACTGAAGGATCGTATAAAGGAACTTAGAGAGAACAACTTTAGAATAGGAACCCATGTCCTCCGAAGTTATCCTGAGTCAGTCGAGGCCATTGAAGGCAGGGGTGTCCGATAACATACCGCTGAAATAATCGTAATTTCCTATTCTCCTACTCACTTAATTTTGAATCACACGTATCCAGTCAGATTCTACAGAGGCCCCTAGGCTGTGATTATTTCAGCGGTATGTTATCAGACTTCCCTACCTTCAATGGCCTCGACTGACTCAGGATAACTTCGGAGGACATAGATTCTTATTCGAGAGTTATTCTCTCTGAGTCCCTCTATACGCCCCTTCAGTTTGGCCTTAACCTTTTGAATCACTCTGCATAATTACAGAGATATTACGTGTTTATTAATCCAATCAAAATATAACTTGGATTGCAAGAATTAATAAATATTTTAATATGGGTTAAGTGACTTCTCGATCACATTCCAGATTTTGCAAGGTGAGGCATATATAAACCTATTTAAGTTCATAAATACCATATCATGAAGATGCATTGAGTTAGGGGAGGATTTGTAAAATTTGTATTCTCTGTGCTTGGCTGATATCGGTTCTTGTGAACACAGTTTTTAGTATTTGGTTCCATAAAGGACGAGGAATTCCATGACTGGTTGAGTGACTATTAGCTTTAGAGATACTATTCCATCAGTAAGACACAGTCTGTGAAAGTCCTGCTGTATTGAATGACTTCTGTCCAAAGTTATCAATAAATAAGTTATGTTGAATGTACCTACTATTTACAAATCTATTTGTAGGTAGGTCTTAAATTGTTGTTAAGAAATCGGGTGAGTCTGAACTTCGCAGCAGCTCTTTAGGTTAAAAACTTTTTAATTTGATACATTCATAGTTTCTTCGCGTACGACTGTTGAATGGAAAACAAACATTTTCACTTTCATTCTGTCATGAATTTATCATCCACAAGGTCTTGAGTTACTTCGATTAGGGGGAATCGAAACAATGTCTGTGGGGGAAGATAGTCTTGGTGTATGAATCGCAAAGCCTTCTTACATTTCTCAGCCGTTGACGGCAAACACGAATCAGCTAAAACAGGCTACATAATTCGAGCCATTTTATCCTGCGGAGACCTTTCGTCCAGGAGTTGAATTAGGACGTTTACTCTTAAGCGGAAGTTGCGTTACGAAAAGATGATTATTTCGAGATTGTGTGCAGAGCTCAACTACTGGCGACCTCTACCTTGACACAATTTCAGATCGGAAACAATAGGATGAGCTCGTGCGTCTGATAATGGGAGTGTGGTTGCTCATTCCCGGCTTCAAATCCATAGTATAGGCTTAACTTTCAATATTTACTGTTCTGAAAATTTTATATAAGACCCTACGATGTATTACTAAGTTTATTTGTTCGGAAACAACTTAAAGACGCAGTGTCGTCTGCGAGGTAGATTCAATTAACAGGCTGTGGATTTTATGGCACGAAACAGCACTGAATTCATCAGGGTGAATTACTCTTTATTCATGGTCTTTGGTGTGTTGACCAAAGCTAAATAAATTTATATTTAAAACAGCTGCTTAAACATATCTGAGCTTGTCAAATAAACGTTAATTAAAATTGTATAACTTGTTCTGTCCTCACAATCCCTAAATTCCCTTTGCCTCAAAACATTTAGGGATGGTAAATACATAACTAGTGAAAATTAAATCTGTTACATGATTCACACCGTTCGGTAATATGACAATATTCCCTTGCAGTAATTTAAGGGTTAAAAGGACGAAACAATTACATGAAAATGTTTCCAGAAAAGTGCTAGTCCTGACCTTACGAAATGTGTATCAGTTCATACACACGAAAACAGTCCCCGCTACTTTTAAACACTCTTTATTATTCAGCATTTTACGATGTTAAATCATCTACTGAGATTAACGTCAGTTGAGATAGATTATGAAGGTGTGATCATAAATGACAGATTGAAAGGGAAAGATAATTTCAACACTTGATACAGGAAACACGTTATTTGCAGCTGTGTTATTTACATTATTCCGATTTTTTTTAAAAATAATAAGACTTCTCCTATGGCCCGGACTTGTGGTATATTCTGCATAAAGTTATTTGTAGTGTCATAAGAGTAGAAAGGTTTCAGCTTATGCGACAGTATAGATGCTCCTTCCCAGACAGACAGACAGACTGATTTGTGCGTGTTTCGAAGGTAGCTTCCGAAAATAAAAGAAACATTCTAATAATTCGCAAGCGTGTTCTGTTTTTTACTTGTTACTAATATTGTCCGATTGTACGAATGTAAAAGAAGCTACCTTCCTGTGGTCAGCTTAATATTCCTCTCCTTCTGCAGCAATCTGCTTGACCTTCACAGTGATTCAGGGTCATCTCCTGGTCAACATTCGTTTGTTTTCTTTTACATGCAGTCTACCCTGTAATTATAATAATATTTGTTTTCATCTCCAATCTCAGCCATCATCTGTCTAGCCTCTTCTGTCCGGCGGAGTGAAGGATATATTTTTATTATTCATTTCATTTCCCTTACTGAACTGAGTGGTTATGTTTCGTGATACAGCATTATTTTTCCACTAACTCTCAGAACCATATTAACACCTGTGACCTCACGCCTCCCCATATTTTCGAGATGTTGGCAGAACTAATGGCGTCAGAATGCATCGCATTCTTCTGGTAACAAAGCCTTCCACTCCTGTGTTTACCAACATTTCGGAAGAAAATATCGCCTCCATCTTCTTTGTAGAGTCACGCTTCGAGGTGTCTTAACTCACAAAAATGTAATTCATGTTTTAATTTCTCTGAAAATCTAAAATTTCACAATATTTATTTTAATTTAATGAAAATTAAAAAGTCAAAAGATAGTCTTTACGTTGGTATTGATAGACACTCTGGAATTTATTTAAAAATTATCTATATCGGTATCAACATTTGATAAATCTGAATTAGTAACTTAACACGTTCTTTAAAAAAATTTGGTTTGCATACAGTGAATCACAAGTAACATTTCGTTTATGTAAATGACCCTAATACATCACTTTGCTGAGTACATCATATGATGCCTAGTTTAGTTTAAATGGTTCGGTCTATGCCTATGACGTCTTCATTCAAATATCCTTCATTCAAATTTCCTGATTTTTCTCAGTTCCGCCAGCCAGATGATGGCACATACCTTAATTACGTCACGACCGATTTATTCCTTATCCTTTACAGTGCATTCCTCATCAGTCACCATATTAACTGAAGGTGTATATTTCACTGTTTCGCAATCCCCCCCCCCGCTGCCGCACACCCTAATTTGTTAAAGACACGTGATGGCAAACCACAAAATTCTTCCCAAAGAAAAGGGGGCACAAAACAACTATATGGCAACAAATACAATGAAACGTATCTACATAAAATTAAAATAAATGAGAATGCAGGCGTGTAGAAATATAACACATGCTGAATAAAACTATAGATGATGTGTGTATTAGGAATTTTAATTACGAAAGATACAGAATCGGTTTTTCCAAACTTTTATGTGCCAATACACAGAGTGGAACGGCGTTCATTAGTCGTTTTGACTTACGTAGTACTCTGGCAGCACCGGGGGTTGGATGAATCTAAGAGCGCTTTAGCGTTCAGCTACGGATGCCATTTTCTGAATTAGTGATCGGCTTGTGATTGTGTTAGCCGCAGAGACTTTTTTAAAAATTAAAGACTATATGAGAACAAGGCAACGAATATTCAGACGCCATTTTAACACTGGGAGTCATGGAAAAGTTCCTGATCGCAGCGCCATCAATAACTGGGTAGAGAAGTTTCGAACCACAGCTTCTGTAACAAACAAAAACCTGGAAACCGGAAAAGATTGATGGGGTGACATTCAGTGATATGACTCCCATACTAAATTTTGTGCAAACTCAATAGTTGGTTTGAAAGTTATCAACGAGTACATATTCATTCTGACATAGATATAGATTTATTTATTCTTAAAAATTAAAGTGAAAATAAACACCATTCAATTTAGCAGTAAATGTAATTGTTCGGTTTATTTATAAATCTAGTAAAATGAACTCATAAAACTGACAAGAAACATGTCGAGGTTTGCAAATAAACGAGTAGCTTACGTTTGCCGATTCGTATAAAAAATGTAATTTCCGATCAATTTTCAAGTAAAACTCGCAACTGTAAATCTCATATAAATTCTTTTATCCACACTGTCCTACTACAAAAAAGACACTATAAATCTTTGGGCTCTTTCGCGATGTTGCAAAATCATCAACATTGTTAATATTACGATATATCCTAAAGTCGTCAAATAAATGAAACTCTTCATAAAGTTATATTTGTGAATACAGCCACACATGAAGGTATTTTTAAGAAACAAATTATTTATTAAAATTAAGGATCCTAATTGCACCATTGTAGAACTAAAAAATTTCCAAATTTACACAAATTAAAGGGCAACCAAAAGGCAAAAGAAGATCATTTGCCACAACTGGAGCAAATCATAATGTTAATACGATTACAAAAATGTGAACGTTTGAGATAAATGTCAAAAGCATTACTTAAATGAAAGTACAGTCTACAGAATAAGTTTGTGCACTTGTCGGAAGTAAAACTGTCAAGGTGGATCTATGTTATAGGAAACTATGCCAAGAAGGATTAAGTTTGTACATAAATGATTATAATTAGTGCATTAAAAGATTATGGAAATTAAAAAGTACCGATACACGTGTATATTTATTAACCACAGCGATGAATGTGACGGTAATCTAAGGTTGAAAATTTAAGTGAATATCAAGATATCAGATAAACCCTAGACTGTAAATTACAAAATTCTTTCTAAAACTACAGCCTTCGACAATTTATGACGATTCATAGCCCTGCTCACTTCAGCAGTACAGAAATATGTTACAGGTAAGAATTATAGGAGGTACAGTAGGATAATGAGTTAAAATTAATTTAAACTTAGTAGCAAAGGCACCAGAAATATGTTTATGTTTATGAACAAACTGGTTATCCACTAAAATTTTAATAGAAGTTTTATCCTTCCTGTTAGAGCCAGAATTATATTTTCAAAACTTCTTAGCTTGAGACTGTCGTTGACAGTCTTTCAACATCGCTGCTTATTAATCGCAATTTTTATAAGTTTTTGAAAATGTCAGAATGTAACAACCAATCTGTACCAAATATGAGTTCAACAGAGGGAAATTAGTAAGGTAACGCATCTTCAAATTTTATCAAAATTCGTTAAACTAGATCTGCGGTCGTTACGTCATTCAGAAATGTTCCCACACAACTGTTTATTACGCTGGCAAGTTTCGTCACCGTCAAACTATTTTCGTGACAGGCTTTCGTAGCTTCCGCTTGGGTAATTTCACATTACGTTTCCTTCACAGAGCGTGTGCGAACTTGTCATTCATCGTTTTATAGAACCACAGTCTCCAGTTCGATAATAAATCACGCAGAATATCGGGGCCGAGTGGCTATAACTCCTGCTTCTTATTCAGAAGGTCCTGGGATTAAATAACAAATGAGCAACTATTTCCTGCCGATTCCGTTACGTATCCACCGAGGCTTGTATTTCGTGTTGTTCTGTTTACAGTTACCAGTCGGGAGATGGCACTACCGCTCAAGAATCGGGATACTTGAAGAACTCGGGCAATAGGGACTTGGAGGCTCAGACTGTTCAAGGCTCATACTCTTATACGTCGCCAGAGGGCACACCTATCACAGTAACCTACATAGCTGACGAGAACGGATTCCGTGCGCAAGGCGCACATCTTCCGGTAGCTCCACCTATACCTGATGCGATTCTCAAGTCTCTGGACCTGATCGCCAAAACACAGCCAGGCGCAAGCGCAAACCTGGGGGTGTACACGCAACAAGGATATAACAGACAACAATATCGATACTAAATTCCACTTCTTTACCCCATCTTGCAGTGGTCATATGATGTACAACTGAACGTTCTCTAAACATTCGGACATTGATTCTAGGCTTCTTCAACAACGCTTGTTAAACTGATGTCATTTGGGATCTGATGGTAGAATGACAGTTATGTTATAAATTTAAATGGATATAACAGGAAACTGTCATGATCTATTTCAAAGGTACTATAGTGAAATTTGCATGTGATGACTGAAAAAATCAAGACCTTTTGCGAAGACAGACTTGCTGTCCGAGATTTAAACTCCGAACCTTGCTTTCCACTCTACAGTAGCGTTCAGTGTTTTGATTAGCAGCGGAAGAAAGTTATTTATTGACTTTTCAATTTCACCCCATTCTGCTAATTACAACAGTCTGACCAAATTTACGAAAGTGAAAATAAAATAAATATAACACTAATTTAGCGGAGAAAAATTATATGCTTAGAACTAATTTAGCGGAGAAAAATTATATGCCTTATATTTAATTTTACGTTTACATTTTTATAACAAAACACAGCTCAGAAATATTTTTGATCTACAATCACTCTTTTTATAAGTAAATGATAACAACACTGGACCAAAACTGCTTAGCCATAATACTCCGTACGTTCTAGCAGTATTGCCAATCATAAATAAAAGGTTTCTAGTTCACATCAATTATACGCCCTCTTCACTACAAACTGGACCCAAATAAAAAAATATCAACCACGATTTTTTATAAAGAACGAAATTTCCACAGTGCTAAAAATGCAATTAAGAAACTAATGATTATGCTGCATTTGCCTTGATACATTTTCATTTCCCCGAGCCATTTAGACATTT